ATTTTCTTTACTTATATGCACTGAAAGGCCCATGGGAAGATTAATAATGGGGAGTATAGACAGAGGAAGAGGGAACTTAAACTAGGTACCTGTTCAAGAAATTCCTGACTTTATGCTGTGCTACCATATCTGACTGCTGTTGTGTGTTGGACCCATCTCAGTTCCTTAGCAGCAGAAAGTTGTAAGGTAAAACAAATAGATATAGGCACTTGAAAATTCCTTTTTTCCTTACACTTCAGGAGAGAATGCTTATGCATACGTAGTCGTGGATGAGTTCCTATATTATATAATGCTGTGCCAGTTCTACTCAGTGTTATTTGCAGCCTCTTTGCCAATGCACTGAAAGATATTATACATTTAACAGTTTTTTATTAAACAGCTTATATCACTAAACAGTGTTAAAATGTTTGTGCTTATTAGCTTAACTTTCCTAGTATACATTATATTTTTGCATGATGCTAGTGGTTTTAAATTATATTTTTGCATGATGCTAGTGGCTTGCTAGTAATCACTGAAAAACAATAGTTGTAAATGCTTGCATTGCTTTTTAAGTATTACTTTTGCCATTATGTATGATCGAATATGTCCTTAAAGTTGACTATCAGTTTTGTTTCCAATAAAAGCAATGACATACAATTCATCTCTTTAAGATACCAGCTTACGTGTTTTGCAAATCTGAGTACTGAATCAGAACTCCTCTACCCTGGTGGATATTAACCGTTGCAGGTTTCTATGGAGCCGTTCTGTAAATTACTCCTCCAGGGCAGGAGATGGTACCCTGGTACCTTAAAAAACATAATGTAACTTTCAAAGATACCCAACTGTACTTCCAGGAAGTAGTTTGTTTATGCAGAAGGATAGGGCTCATAATTTGGTCAAATTTGTTTTTCCACTGTAAATATTAAAATATATAGGGCATGACAAACATATATGTGCACATTCTCAGTATGATGACACATTATGGAAAACCTCTTTCTTTCAGCGCTAGAAAAAGAATGTC